GGATTACAACACCGGATTACAACACCGGATTACAACACCGAATTGCAACACCGGATTACAACACCAGATTACAACACTAGATTAAAACACCAGATTACAGTACCAGATTACAACACCGGATTACAACACCCGATTACGACACCAGATTACGACACCAGATTACAACACTGGATCACAACACCAGATTACAACACCCAATTACAGCACCGGATTACAACACTGGATTACAACACCCGATTACATCACCGGATTACACCACCAGATTACAACACAAGATTACATCACTGGATTACAACACAAGGTCACAATACTGGATTACAGCACTGGATTACAGCACCGGATTACAACACCGGGTCACAACACCAGTTTACAATACAAGATTACAACACCGGATTACAACACCGAATTACAACACCGGATTACAACACTGGATTACAACACAGAATTAAAGTACTGGATTACAATACCGGATTACAACACCGAGTCACAACACCAGATTACAACACAAGATTACAGCACCGGATTACAACACCAGATTACGACACCAGATTACAACACTGGATTACAGCACTCCACGGTTACAACACTGGATCACAACACCCGATTACATCACCGGATTACACCACCAGATTACAACATCAGATTACAACACCAGATTACAACACAAGATTACATCACTGGATTACAACACAAGGTCACAATACCGGATTACAGCACTGGATTACATCATTGGATTACAACACAGAATTACAGCACTGGATTACAGCACTGGATTACATCATTGGATTACAGCACTGGATTACAACACAGAATTACAGCAATGAATTACAGCACTGGATTACAGCACTGGATTACAGCACCGGATTACAACACCAGGTCACAACACCAGTTTACAACACAAGATTACAACACCGGATTACAACACCGAATTACAACACAGGATTACAACACAGAATTAAAGTACTGGATTACAATACCGGATTACAACACCGAGTCACAACACCAGATTTCAACACAAGTTTACAGCACCGGATTACAACACTGAATTACAGCACCGGATTACAAAACCAGATTACAACACAGAATTATAGCACTGGATTACAACACCGGATTACAACACCGAGTCACAACACCAGATTACAACACAAGATTACAGCACCGGATTACAACACTGAATTACAGCACCGGATTACAAAGCCAGATTACAACACAGAAATATAGCACTGGATTACAACACCGGATTACAACACCGAGTCACAACACCAGATTACAACACAGAATTACAGCACCGGATTACAACACCGGATTACAACACTGGATTACAACACTGGATTGCATCACAGGATTATTACAACACCGGATTACAACACCGGATTACAACCCTGGACTACAACACTGGATTACAACACCAGATTACAACCCTGGATTACAACACAGGATTACAACACCGGATTACAACACCGGATTACAACCCTGGATTACAACACTGGATTACAACACAGGATTACGACACCGGATTACAGCACCGAGTCACAACACCAGATTACAACACAGAATTACAGCACCGGATTACAACACCGGATTACAACAGTGGATTACAACACTGGATTGCAGCACCAGATTACAGCACCAGATTACAACACCAGATCTCAGCACCGGGTTATAACACTAGATTATAGCTCTGGGTTAAAACACCGGATTACTGCTCCGGGTTACAGCACAAGGATACAGCACTGTTATTCATAAAAATAATATTATTTTCTTACGATGCTTTACTAAAATCACACACTAAATTTGCAAGTAGACTTTGTCGTCATGACAACAATATATTCAGTGCCTTCTTAATTAACTCTTCTTCATTGGTATTTCAGATTTCAATCGGTAGAATTTATCTCTAAATGTTTTTCAATTACTAAGCTGAAATAATTAATAAATCATTGACATTAATTTTTTAATAAATAAGAATGCTTGCTTACATAATTCCTTTTAATGTTCATGTCTTCATTTACTTTACATAATTTATCTGCACTGATTTTTTTCTCTGCATTTTTTTTTATAGTTTCTAAGCCCGTTATATATTATGATTTTGTAACCAGCTGTATTCAATGTGAATACATAAGTAAGCATCCTAATTAACTGCAATAAATTTTAATTTAGATTTCTTGTCATCTTTTTTGTCATCCATATTGCGTGCGATTACGAGTCAGATTTGTCTCCATAAACAACAGATGTAAACATGTCGTATTTACCTGGGTTGTGGCATCGCCGATCAGAATCACCTTTGGATACAGACTCATGTTTCTAGCTGATATAGATCGCTGTTAGGAAATGTACATCAATATTTAGGTGATGAGCGAAGACACGTTTGCGGTAATTATTTCTCTCTTCCGCTCACTTTTATTCCTTTCTTCATCTTTAGTGCTCCTTAGAATGTCGATTAATTTGCAATATGGCGGGCTTTGTTTACTCAAATAAGTCGTTATCGTGCACATTAAAACTATGTAAAATTTACCGGTACTATAATTTTACAACCGGTTATTTTAAATATTATTATTGGTAATCGCAAGGATGTGTGTAAAACGCTATTTGTATAGTTTGCTGCTAGGTAACATTCAGTGTTAAAATTAAAGAAGCTAGGGAGTCCTATTGGTTTGTATTCTTCACACATGTTAAGTAGGTTGTTTATGATCGAACGATACGGAAAATAAGTCTCGTCAAAATGGTCAAAATCGTCGGATAGATCTATTTTCTACAACATTCCAATTAGCGATGAATCTATGCAGGTGGCCCGAGGTTGTTTTACTCGGTGACTCGCTGACGGAGGTAAGACAATCTTTTCCTGCCTGAGTGAGGCGTTCATATGTTTACAAATCACACCGTGCGTTCATCCTCCATCAACGCCTATCATACCAAGAAATTGAATGAAAGTTGGAAAGATAATGAACGAGTTTTTTGACACTTCCATGAAAAGCGTCTTCCTAATATTTGCGTGAACTTCTCACGTGACCTTACAGTGCTTGCTTACCAGTCATTTTTATTAATATTAGTATGTGATAATGAAAACGAATAATTCAAATTTATGAAGTTATTTGCTAATCACTTGGCAACTATTTGAATGGATTAACCTCCGAGCTCACCTTGCTGAGTGACTATGAATCACTCATGCAGCAACTACATGTTTCAATGTTTTCCAATGGGGGGGGGGGGGGCAACTGGGGAAAATGTAATCCCATAGTGGGATTTAGAAAGCATTCACCTGTTCGTTTACAGAGAAAAAGTATACGTCAGAGTTCACTACAACACCATCAGTTCATACTCACCCGTGGGTTATTGTCATGTCCCTTGGGGTGGGGACTTTGTTATTCCAAGAAAAAAATGTCAAAACCCCCGATTCAGCCTGCACTTCCTCCCTCCTGGCACAAGTTGTATTTTCCAATGGAATCTGTGAAATTTGGAAACTAATTTTAAAATGCTGAAAACTAATTAATTACAATATAGTTATTCATTGTTTGGTAAAAAAACATCATTTAATAAAATGCCAAAAACCCTGTTCTTTTATGATTGAATACAAGCTCAAGTCCGGTGTTTATAAACTTTTTAAAAAAAGAATGGGAAGCCTTATTGAACTACATACCTGATTCTGCCGTAAATTCACCCTGGGCTGTTAAACGACAGTTTTGGTTTTTAAAAAATAAAATGGGTTGTAGACCAGAACATTATTTTGTACGCATTCCATAAAACATGACAAAAAACCTGAACTATCCAGTCAGTGGCAAGATTTGATTTGAAAACAACAAAGTTACCAAGTCTCCAAAAAAATACTATCGTACAGCAAAGAGGGCAATACGCTGGCGTTGTGTCATTTAATATATATCACAAATTTGTTGACAATCCTTAACAAGCAGTGTGAGTGAAAGAGGGCTTATCTCAATAAAAATAATTTGTCACAAGAGAACTGGTGATGATTGTAGAACCATAACTGCCTCAGCTCAAAGACTGTTATGTAATACAAGGGAATGTAAAGGGAAATGTATTGTAATGTTACCTCTGTGTAATTTACAATATATCTGCATTAACCTTCACTGTGAAGGACAATATGGGAGTAGAAGCAAGGCTACGCAAATTTGCGAAATAGTAGTTAGTTAGAATTACCAGACATTGTGGGATATAAAGAAGTGGCATATTAACCCAACAAACATACTCGCACATATCCATACATGTCTTATTGTGTGGGGAAAAGCTGTCATGTACACATTCATAATAACTGGAAATGGTTTCACAACAAATAACTAGTGTTATTGCTGTAAATAATTATGAACAATAAAAACTGAAATTTAGAAAAACTATGAACAAAAAATAATGAAAGTCTGTGATTTTCTGCACAGTTTCCAGGAAATTATTGACCGAACCATAACATTTATAAAAAGCACAGTGCTGAGATTCACTTCGAGTATATCAGAAATATAATCTTACAATTGCATACGAGTCTTCAAAACGTACAGTTTGGTGACATAATTCAAATTTTGTATAGTTCAATTTGCATACAACCACCCATGTACTAGTACATTTTGACAATAAACCCCTCTTTCACATTGTGCAAATACAAACAAGACATTAAACCTTCCTGACAGTAACATGTAAGCGTTGTATTAACCCGAATGAATAGTCTCGAGTCACGGCGAATACTTCTATCGAGTCGCCCATTTAAAAACCGCTTCAACTAGCCAAGGGCAATCAATAATGTGCGGGGTCATTAATTAAATAATATTAATTTTATTAACACTTACACATTCTCTGGAGGGATTGGCAATGGCTATAAATGTTTAAGAAAGAATAAAAGGTTAACAAAATTAAATAAATAATATCAAATAAAAACATACAAAAAACTAAGCTAATACATTACTGTAACAGAAAAAGAATATACTATTAGTAAGACTAAATTATTATACAATAAAAAGATAGAAAAAATGCAAAACTTAACTGTGAAAGAAAATTGTCACTGGGGTTGCTGTCTTATTTCAAAACACTTCTATAGGCACTTCTATTGCTACAGGGAGTGTTAGACCACTGTTGTTTAGCAAGGCTATGAATTGTGTCTTTGGTGACAAATTTTGGTTTTTGCCATTTCGGGGGTGCAACTTTTGCATGACATCATTAGGTGATATTCATCTTCTACTTGAGTCTGATCACAAGGTTACATAATCTATTAGCAAGATGTATTCCGTTGTGTCTGTCAGTCACAATATTTTGCAGGGTAACAAGGTAGGTTTCATAAGCAAAATTGTTTTTTAATTCTCTGTATGTTCTTAATTTATTTATATTTCATTTTGGTTTGATTAATTGTCGTTTTGTAATTCACTTTTCCAAGTTGATATAAATGATGTTTGTATATTTGTATTAATTTGGCCTAATTGCCTTGTTGTTAGAATTTCATTGTTGTCAACCAGGTTATACTGGTTGATGTTAATCAAAAGGGAGTCTACCATTTACTATTAATTTCTTAATATTAACAAGTAACCTGTAGAATACTGTGTGGGTAATATTTTTTATATTGATTTTTGTTGCATTTGCAGCAAATAGTTACCAAACAATGAGAAATCTATAGGATTGAATATACCCCACAGCTGGCTTCACGTGCATTGTTCATAGTTCATATGGTGCTTACACCAGGATTTAA